TACAATTTTCTGGTGAAATTGCTCAAATGTAAGATTGTTATCACAATAGTAGGATAAACACCCTTTAGTCCTTAATAGTATATAATTGTTTAATTCTCCTGGTTGTTACCTCCTTATTCCCCAAACTTAATATATTGTTCCTTTAATACTTATATTGTAAGTATGTTATAGGTACACTATAATTACCAAAGGTTACGCTGTTAAATCGCTTTAATTACGCAGTACTTCCAGGCTGTAATCTAAAGCATTATCAAATATTCATATTTAAAACTTTATTAAATAAAAATAACCAGCTTCCGGCCAAGCAAACATACAGATTGCACTTAAGTGTAAAGTGCAACTTATGTGGTTTTAAGTTGATATTTACTCTACACCATTATGCACTACGCTACTTCTGACGTCACAAATTGACCTATGGCTAAGCCATTCAGTCAAACACGATGACAGTGCGCACCTAACCTAATACACTCGGACATTCTCTGCTTCCACGTCCATTGAAATGCATTGCAGTTAGTCAGTTTTCATTAGGTTTTTTTGTCATTTTAAGTTTAAAATGGTCAAACGGTGTGCATGGGGTACATACAACTCCGACACTAGGTTCCCGAGAGACTGGGCGACGGTGTGTATTTCTTTACCCTTTCCCAAGCCACTTCTCAACAGAGATAAGTGTCTGCTCTGGATTAAGTTATGCGATTAAGTCATGCGCCGCGGTAGACCACAACAACAACTAAAGTTAGCCTTCTAGCTGCTTTGTACATCATGTCACTTAGCTTAATTAACGTATCTGTAAATAACCGAGATAACAAATGTTAACAATGTTGTGCTGAATGATTCATGTAAATACTGTAGCACCAAACGGTGATGGCAACGATATGCGGTATATCACGTTTACATTGTGACCTGTAAATTACATTTTTGCCTGGAGCTGAAGCTTTTCATCGACCTTCTCAACAACAAAAATTATTAATATAACCCTCCAATGCATAGTTAAGGCCCTTAAGGTGACTTTGAGATGATAAATATTATTTCTGTCTCCAAAAATCACCAATTGCCTCCTGTAAAATGTCTGCCATAGCGCCTGTCCCCGAATGTTGACTGTTTGTCCAAGTGAGTGGAGGGGGCGTGGCTTAGCCATAGGTCAATTGCATAAGTTTGCAAGTAGGCTGCTTATGGCCATTTAGTTGGAAGCTAGTTGTTTTACTTTAAAAAGTTTAAATACGAATATTTTTCAAACAAAATTTTTGCTTCAGAAGGCCTTTATTAACCCCCCTGGAGCCGTGTGGAGTTTATGATGGATGGATGCACTTTTTTGAGCTTTTTTAAACTAATAGTTGCAATCCACTGCCATTACGAAACTTGGAAGCGTCAGGGTGTTTATTAATAAAACTCTGATTGTATTTGTCTGAAAGAAGAACGTGGGCTAATATACACCAAAGGATGGCTTGAGGGTGAGTAAATCATGGGCTAAATACTCTAATTAAATTATGTAAAATCTAATTTTGAAAAAATGTATTAAATTAAGTACAATCAAAACACCTCAAAAAGGTTAATAAATCCATACCGGAAGTGGCAGTACAATGTAGTAGTATAAAAGAGCAATCCTCCACCAAATTGCCAGTACTCATCTGGATCCTTGGTCAATCTGGGATGGGTGGGGTGATGCGTCCTTAACAATATTAAAACAAAACGTATCAATATCGTACCAACATTTGCCATTATAAAACATTCAGAGAACATGAAAAATAGCCCAATAGCTCCCCGGTCTCCACTGTGTGTGTTTAATACTCACTGCTGTGTGTGTGTGTGTGTGTGCACTTGAATGGATGAAATGAAGAGCACAAATTCCGAGTTTGGGGACACATGTCACATCACATCAATTGAAGCTTTAAAAAAAGAAATTGCTACTCCAAAATCAAACAAACCATCAAACAATTTTACCTGTAGCCACATTTATCCTGTTATGACACGTCTGAGGGTCTTTCCCTTGATGTTCTTCCGTGAACTAAATAAAGGGCTCATGATGGTGACATGTTCTCCTTTCTTTGTCACTTTAGAGGAAGAAAGACATAAAGATAATTAGTTACTCAGATTTGTCACTGGTAGAGGATATGACTTTTGATGATGAGTATAATACTTTTGACAACATAATATATTAATCCCAATGTAAGGTTTAGAAGCAATGGTTAAAACTGACTTACATAATGAAGTTGATAATCATGCCGTGGTGGATTTGTCTCTCTGTTGGGTGCCTGCTCTCCCCCAAAAATCTTCTTCCAGTGCTTGATATATAAAAATAATAAAAAAATAAACAAATCTCTTAAGATTAGCAGTTGTCAGTTTTTTAAGAGGTGATGTCAAAATATTTAGAAACGGGCATCTACTAAAATATAAGAGATTTAACGTTAGACCAATAACATTTCTCAACTCTTCTGTAGATTCCAGTGTTTCAGAGAGTAAATGACCGTTTTATCAGTCAAATCATATTTATATAGCGCTTTTCACAATATATCAGTCACTTTACTCATTTGGATTCTACTTCCCTAGTAAATAAATAAATAACTTCTACCAGAATATATTAGAACACATTTCATACTAATTATACTTCAATTTCATTAACATAATTATTGACACATCACCTAAGAAGACTTTATTACACAATGAACATTATATATATATATATATATTACGACCAAAAAATAAAGTAATAACGTTACCACTATTAAGTGTACCAAAAGTATATTTGCAATAGTTCCACTTTAGCACAATCAAATACACTTACTCAGAAGCACTAACGTTGCTTTCAGATAAATATGGTTAGCTACCCGTTATGTTAACGTTACAAACACAACTGCAGGTAACTTAGTAGCCTACGTCCGTTATCCGTTTATAAAACTCTCGTATGTGACGTTAACGTTAAGTTACACAGAACATTTCTGGGTAGTTAATGAACTCCATTCACACACGTTTTGTTTATCTGCATTATATATTCAACCATGAACTATATTAACACTCTCATCCACTTATTTGAATGTAATACCTAAACGTTTATATCTCAGTTTTTCTAAAATGATAGTGGAGACAGAAAAATGTTCTCTTACCTGATCGCCAATATTGCAGGATCTCACGCATCCAGTCTGAGCGTCTTCTGTGTGTTCACATCTTCTGTTCTCCTTCGTTTACATGTCACATCGCAAATTAGTTCAAAATAATAATTGAAAGACCGAGTAATCTTGCTGAGCAGCCGTCGTCATCAACTCAAATGTATTTGATTTTTCAAACTTGACCAGTAAAAAGGCGCGCACAGTTGTCATTGGCCAGTTACATAGATGACAGTCAGATTAACCAATCATGATCAAAGAAGGTGAAACAACCGAAGTTACGACGTCACTCTGTAGGCCAAAACGCAGAAGTGAATTTGCATTTTAGCATTACAGTTCCCTCGCTCTAAAGCCTATGGGTTTTTTGAATGGGTTTTTGCTAAATCTCCTGAAATAAGGTCTCTGGTGAACAGAGCCTCTAAATATTTTCACGTTTTGATCTATGACAGAACACACAATTATAACCTGCTTGTGTTTTTTTTTTTTTTAAACTTTATTGTGTCGGATTGTGTTTTTTAAAATCTTTAAATATACTTCAAAATGTATATAAATTTTGGATTAACTTGTAAAGATTATCTTGCTAGACAAAACGTGTAAGGGTCACAACCCTCTGTTAAACACAGATCTTATTTTTTGCGATTTTCCAAAAGTCTATGGGGAAAATGCATTGCTTTTTTACCGAGGGAACCCATGCGCCGCTAGCTTCCGGGTTGTCCTACAAAGTGACGTCATCACTTCGGCACTCTATTGTTTCAGTGGTAATGATTAAAAAAAAAAAAAAAAAAAAGTGGTAATGATTTTTTTTTTTTTTTTTAAGAAATCCGTGTTTAATTTAATTTGTAGGCTATATTATTTGATTACTGTTTTTATGAAAGTGTGTGAATAAAAATGTAATCCTGCAAGCTAAACTTTAGGCACACACACAAAATTGTAAACCCCAAACAAAATCGCACAAAGCAAAAAAAGTTTATTCTGCACTTGTTGAGATTGAAATTATATCCATTATTTTTATTATTGTTAATAATATACTGATTCTATTTCAACACAAATTTATATTTTTGAAGTGGTGTTTTGATCAAAATATCATAAAATGCTACAATAATAATTAGAAATTAATAATTAGAAATAATAATAATTTAAATATTATGGATTTCTCGAAGACATGACATGATTCAACAAACAGATAAAAAAATTCAACTGTTTAGCATTAAAATGTTACATTTGTGTACATTGTGTGCATTCTGTACTCCCGCTGCAAATGTGATTTTTGAATTTAGTTTTGATTTTCCCTTCAAACACTGCATGTTGCATTCTAACTTTTTTTACTTGGGCTATTTCATCATCTGGACTGAG